ATTTCAGTCAAATTCCGTGCTTTTTTATTGACACTGGATCTCGACTCCACCACCTAATATTATATTAAGAATACGCTAGAACAAATGATGCGGATGAATGGTCTTTATGAATGGTTAAACATTTATGTGTTTATATATGTACTGAGCGAACATTTACATAGTTATATGTCTATATATGTATGACACGAACATTTACTTATTTATCTTCAATTATCTTTCTGCTTCAGTTATTTTCCTTATTTTATTTCATTAACTATTCATGTATCTACCTGCGGTGGTCACCACAAGACAAACAGTCTTATTCGGTCTCCGCATATTCAACTTCATAACTTTTATTCACTTATTTGATATGTTGTTGATTATGAATAAAACTTTGAAAATGAAATGAATGAAAAATATATACATATATATATACATATGCAATTATTGATGAAAATCATCATTATTGATTTTCATCAATAATTGCAATGCTATATACTATATACTATATAAAATACTATATATATATATATATATTCTATTCTAGTGAAGACATTACTAATGCTCGACAGCAAATAATCACAGACATTGAAACCGCAAAGCTGGAATATTTGAAAAATTCAAAAACTGGAACAAAAAAAGAAAAATTCTTGGATATTCTGTCACTAATTAATGACATTGTGAACTGCAAACAAACTGAAAAAATTCCGTGTTACGTAAGTATTGATGACAAAAAGGTGCCGTCGCATGTGGTAATGTTGCAATTCAATTTCAACACAATATTTTCCAAATTGCATCACATAGAAACTACTCTAAACAATTCTACCAACAAAGCTTCAAATGCGAATTTGCACAGTCAAAATAATGCAAACATGTTCGACAAGTATAATGAAAATCAACTACTAAATAAAACAAACATAAAGACAAGTGAACCTCCACCTCCTAGTAGTAACAGCTCAAATTTGAATAAATTGCAGTTAGATCTCTACCAAGAACCCCTCAACCTATACCTCCTTGGCATTCAGCTGGTGGGAGAAATGCGGACAGAGATGTCTTTGAGCAAGAGATGGTGAACAGCGGACAATTCACTGTTGTGGGCCAGTCAAAAAATAAAGCCAACACAATCAAAGAACAAATCAAAAAAATTATAGGCAAAAATTTACTGAAAATTGTAAACTTAAAGCTGAAAAACTACTAGTAATCAAAACTGTCTACTCAATGAGTAATGTTCAGAAATGTAACAAGACAGATGTTTTCCAGTCTTCAAAAAATCAGAATTGGAGTCAGAAATAAAAGATCAAACAGAAAAAAACAACAGAGAGTCAACATTATTCCGCATATGCATTGACAGTAAAGATTCACAAAAAATGAAAGACCCGAGCATCATACCAAATGACATTATTGTTCGGGAATGGCAATTTAATAAAAACAAAGAGCAAAAAAATGGATGATAACAAAACAAATTTCACAGTGGTTTTTGAAGAGGATAAAGAAGAAGACAACAGCTCACAAGTAATAAAAACATGCAAGTTATTCAGTGTTGAGAATTTGAATAAAACATATAAAAAAATTAAGTCTATAGACAATCATTTCAAGTTGTTAAAATTAATGCATATAAATTCAAGAAGCCTATTAAATAAATGTGAGGAAATTGATGATTTTTTGAGAACAGTTATGTTTGTTTTTGATATCATAGCTATAAGTGAAAGTTGGTTAAATAAAACGAATGAAAGCCTGATGTGTGATAGCATAGGTGTACTCACGCATGTTTTGGGATTATATATCTAAACCACAATATGTAAGCTTTTGTTTATTTTGTATATATGTATATGATTACATTACGTTTGTTTGTTTATTTATTGGGTATTTATGTACAAACAATTTCGAATGTGACTATGTTCCAAATGATTCTATTCTATTTAACATTCTTGTTAACTTAAAAATTTTCAACTGATCAACAATCATTATCATATTTGTTAAAATTTTTACTTTTTCTCTTGATGACATTACATTTACATGTTAATTTGGATTATTTTCTACTAAGGTTACTGTGCACGATGAGTCTCTTAAAGACTCCCTACAGTAGTCCTGTACCTTTATTTTTCTTTGAGGTCGAATAAAATATTGTATTGTATTGTATATATATATATATATATATATATATATATATATATATATATATATATATATATATATATAAACGTACTGGACCAGAAATATAGTTTAAATAATTTTAAACTTAAACAAAGCAATTTAATTCTGGCTGGCAGATTATAAAAAGTTGCGTATGACGTGTTGATCTAGATTGCACGAGATAGCCAAAAATGTGAAAATCTTTATAAAATGCTGGTAGCTGCTGATGTAATCGTTTTAAACGAAACATTTAATTTTCAATAGTTTTAAAAAACTGAAACTAAATAATAAAATAAAAGCCTACACAAATATATATGTGTAGGCAAGTACCATTATCAGCCATTAAAAATGGCATAAAAGCAAGCGGCTATAAATATAATTTGAGCCTGAAATCGAGTGATTACAGCGCGAGGCTTAAAAACCCGAAAAATGACGTTATCGTACGAAACGTTGACGCCATGAAACATGTCGAAAATGTCACCGACCCGCAATTTTTTTATCGATTTGTAAGTGGAAGTCTTTCTATTTTTCATTGAATATATTTATTATCTATATAAACAATGCAACTTGGTCGATGACAATTGTAAAAAAAATTGTTATTTAAATAATGACGTAAACTGAACCACAACTGTATTTTACTGTAACGTGCAACGGTATGTTACTATCTAGACCTTTTACCATACATATGAACAATTAAATGTTTCTAGCGAGTTCAAATTTTTTAATATTTCTTAAGAATTATCTTTTCAAAAATTCCTTCTTAATTTTGTTTCATAGTTTTAAGTAGCAAAAATTCATCCCTTCAAAGAATAAATAAAACTCGACGTACGCAAAAAAAAACAAGAAAATGAGAACAACTAATAAACCGTTTCGATTCATTCATCAACATTCAATTTCTTCTTTAAACAAGCAGGCGACAGATTAATTCTACGTTTAATGCCCGCTTATTGTATAGGTGTATGTAAATGTAACAAAGCAATATGAAAAATTACGATGATGCGTCTGCATGTTGATATTATTGAAGGAATGCATCACCACATCGGCAACTACTGGAATGGCTTCAACAAAAAATAAATTTAAATAGCTTTAAATTTTAACTAATTGATACACTTGGTTGAATTATTTCTGTTAAAAATTTATTTTGTCACTTCATGAATTTGACATTTTTTGGTGCTATGCACTTTAAATAGAAAAAAATTTCTACGAAAACGCTTTGATCAGTAATGAAATTTAGAAAATATATCAATTTAATATTAAAACGCCGATCGATCGCCAAGCAAATGAGATTCGCTCTGAATTTCAAAAGTTATGAATAAGTAGTTAGAGACGAAGAAAGAGCTCATGAAAACATGCCAAGAAAATGCTATAACGTGCAAATTATAAAAATAGTCGTATATTTTATCGGTGGCCAATGTAAGATTAGAAAATAGAAAGACACATGAGTAACGACATATTTCAATTTGAGCGTTTTGTTTTGTATTAAAATTTGAAACAAAGTAATTGCAAAAATTAATAACAAAAATCAAACCAATTCAAAAATTTGATCAAGAAAATAACTAAGGCGGTAGAAAGAAATGTATTGAGTGGTATATTTGTGGTATATGGTATATTCATGGTATATTTTAACAAAAAAATAGCGGTTCAAAGTTTGACTAAATCAATCATAAAATTGGGTAACATGAAAGGATATCAAGCTTAAACGCTAATAAAATGCGCAGCTATGCGGTGCGATGTGAACACATTAGATTAACATCAGTCTGTGATGGCAGACTAAAAACTTTTCGTAAAATAAATACCAATACTACTAGAGTTGAAATTAGAATTTAAAAAATTAGTAGTATAGAAAAGAAAAAATAATAAATGTGCTAATTATGCTGCAAACTCTTTTGATCTCTTAGATACAAACATTTGCATCAATGAGGCCAGTGCACGGACTCCATTTAAAAAGTTGTTGAATCTTGTAAAAGTTGGAATGGTGGGGAATGGCATATGTGTGACAAGTAGAAATGCCTGCGGTGTTGCCACGTCCACGAATGCACCTGAGTTGTGCAATTGATAGTCTTGCGTGCAAGTGTAGTGTGCGTATATGCCTGTGTGCTCAATAATAGTAGCTTATCTCTTAACAAAAACAAAGAAGAGATGTGTATGCGTAGAACACGTGAACATGAGAAAAAAATAAACAATAAAAACAAGAAAAAATTAATAAATGAATAAATAAACCAACTTAGAATAACATTAGACCACAAATTCAAAAATTAAAAACCGAACTAAATGATAACCTGTGTGGAATCATTCCAGTTCAAACGGCTCAAGCTCTTTCCGACATCTTGTTTAGAAAACTTATTATGGCCATGCCATGGTGAAGGTGATTTAGATTCATTATTATCTTCAAAGAAAGGAGTCTTGTGATCTTTGGCAGCATTGAACTCATCAGTACTAACAGACCTCCCCTGGGTGTCTCGCGTCATGCAGTTCCCAGCCAGGAGCACCCACTCAAGAACCAAAGGTGCAATGTTATTGTTGATAGCTGTGTATTTAATAGTGCCATCCTTGTTACATTTTGGTAATTTATTTAAGTTGAAACGTTCATTAACTGCCTTCGTGACCCCGCTACCTCTAGGCATCTGTTCCAGATTATGCAAACATGAGACAATTTTCATATTCTTGTTAGCATTCAAAAAATGTCCTAACAATGCAGAACACTCCATGGCCGCTTGTCGTATTAACTTTTTGGAATCCAATAATGCTTCCATCACAGGCCCTACAAACATTTCAATTTCACCAACTTTCATATTCATGGTCAATAACAAATACATGACAAAATTTAACGTTTCCTGTCTAAGTTTACTTCGAGAATGTTTTAGAAAACTACATAGTGGGGGAGCTGAGCTGACAATTCCGAGAGTCTCAAAAATAATCTTCACCAATTTGAAAACACTTTCTTTCAAGCAAATTACATCAGTGCATATAAATGGGAAAATGTTAGAAATAAATGAATTTGTATAAGGTTTCAATTTTAAGCCATACTGTTCCAACAAAACTTTAATAATATCCAGACATATTAAATTAGTTTGCATGTTAGAAACATCAAAAAGTTTTAAGAGGAATTCTAAGAATTGAGGAAAGTTTTTCTCCAAAGCATCATTGTTTTGTGGATTCTTACAAATAAATTTTAAATCTTCCAATGATTCAACTTTTTCATGAGTTGAATCTTTTTTTAATAGTCTGTCATAAATATTGATCGACAAGAATCCAAAGACAAGTTGTGAATGTAAATTCATTTGTTTAGCATTTTTATCATCGTCTTCTTCATCAACGTCATAATTAGGAATATCTTTTGATGAGAACAGTTCTTCACTTTTCATCAACGAATCAATGAAACTCAATTCCCTGACATCACCACTTAGATAATTATAAATTTTTCTACAGTTTTCATCAGCATCTTTGGAATAACTTTGAAACAATTTGTCACCCAAAACATTTTTTAATTTCTTCAAAGATTCAAACCCATGAGTCTGCATGAATTTGTTGGAAAGCTTGTTGTAAAGAGCATGGATCAGCTTTGCAATGTGGCGGTTTGCTTTAAAGTCAACAACGATTAAATGCAGTTTTGATATTACTGATTTGCTGATTTTTTTACTTCTTGAATTTAAACCTTCAGATATTATTAAATCTATTGTAGCTTGAAAATTTTCAGTTTTTTTCAAGCATGTTTTTAAACATTTAACTGCATTCAGCTGAACTCCACTTCTATTATCTTCCAAGCAGGTTAGCAAAGCTGGAACAATCGCATGGATGCAGTTGCACACATTTTCTTCAAGACCATTTATAAAATCGACTACAAAATTAAGTCCATGTGTCCTGACATCAATCTCTTTATCAAACAAAACAACAGCCAAACCACGTGCAATTTCATATAAATCAGAAAATTTTGATTTGCCTTTGTTTATTTTTAAAATATTATGCAGGGTTTTGATTGATTCTAATCTACTTTCATAACTAACATCAGTAAGAAAGGCAATAGCCTCATACTCATCCATCAATTTTTTTAAGAATTCAACCACTGTTTTAAAATCTACAAATTTTTTGGCACATGACGTAATATATGAAAAATAAAAAGTCCACTCTTTTTTATGAAGCCAATACAAAATGAAGCCAATGAATTTCAACTTGAAAAACTGTGTGATAAACAAATAAAGTTATCCACTTTTAATATTTTCAAAAATTGCTTTTATCTCATTTTATTGCATATAAATGACACAGTTTTCATATCATAATAATGTTATATGTAGATATCCTAATCCAAATGAAGTGTCATTTTATTACACTTCTGAACTTATTGTATTTTATAATTAATAGTATAAACTAATGAAGAAATTATAATTGTAAGTTTATTGTTTAAATTTTAATTAAATAACATTTGCTATATTCTAAATGTAAAAACAGTAAAATTAAAAGTTAGAAAACAGTAGGTAATTTATTTATTTATGTTTGCATGTTTTAATTTAAGTTTAATTTAATTAAATTTAAAAATTATATGATCAGTTCAATTATCTTTTATCAGTTATATATTATCAGTTCAAGATTTGAGAAATTATTATAAAGATGACAATTTATTTACTATAATTCATTATTAATGAAGAACAAATAATTTAAATTAACATATAAATAATAATATATTTATCTTCAAATTTAAAAAAGCTTGCTTGATTAATTTTAATTAGTATTAGTTTTTTTTAATTTATCAAATAAATAAATTAATTAATTATTAAATTTTGCATTTGAAATATATAAGAAATTCGATTCGTATAAAAATTAAATTACCAAAAACTTAGTAAAGAAATTTTTTTCGGTTAACTACGAATAGAATTTGGCGAGGGTGAACATAAAAGTGTTTAATCATAATATCGTTTCGTTTATTATTTTTTTTCTTCATAGCTTCATTAGTAACCTGATTTGTTTCCAAAGACGTAAAAAAAATTGTAATTGAAAATTCACGAAAAAATATTTTTGAAAAATTCAAAAATGAACGTTAAATGATAATAAAATAATGAACACAATTTTTCTGATTAAATTATTTACCTAATTTTTTCAAAATTTCTACCTTTTTTTTCGTTTTGTTAGAATGTTCTGTTTTAATATTTGTTTTTCTAGAAGTTCTTATTTTCATCTACGTAGAATAAAAAAACTTCTGCCTTTTCTTGATGGTCCTACTCTTCTCTTTCTTGTAACTTCTTTGAATTTATCAAGGATTGATTATTATAACTCGTTCTACTATGGTCTTACTGATTCTACACTCTATCCCATAAGTAAAGCTTTTTAACTCTGTTACTCGTCTATTTGCTCCTGTCCCTTTCTTTTCTCATATATCTCCATATCTTGTTCTTCTGCACTGGCTACCTTAAAATTATAGAATAGTTTTTGAAATTTGCACTATTTATAAGTTTCAATCTAAATTATTTCCAAAGTACTTATCAGATATATTAATTGAACCTAAACGCCCCGATTTACGATCGTCTTCTTGTTCTCAATTCTTCTTAACTCGTGTTAAACACTCTTTTGCTAAATCTAAATATACGATATATAAAGTAGCATACTTATGTACTGTACTTTTCGGTACTACTAACACATTACATAACATCCTCATAAATATTAAATAAATAAATAGATAGATTGAGTTCCTCATCGTCATTTATTTTGTGCTCGTTGTTCCGGAAATTTGTTAAATTCATCTGATTATAATTATATTGTAAATAAATTGCTCTCCAGTATTGCTATCATCTAATTTCAAACATGAGACTAAGACGGCGACCGATTTAGGTTTCTTTTGGAAGCGGTGTGGATGTGGATAATGAGCAGTGCGGATTCTGGCGGTTGCGGACGTAAACTCTGCAGATGCGGGCGGTTTGGAAAAATCTCTGCTTAGAGCTCTATATATATATATATATATATATATATATATATATATATATATATATATATATATATATATATACACGACATGATTGTACGAATGAATTGGATTACGAAAATCCTAAGAGACGATCACGTGACTCACGAATAATAATGATGACCGGTGACAACCATTCCTACAAGTTAATGAATGCAACTAATTAAATTACGGCTTTTCTGTACGTAATTTGAGCAGTTCACAAATTTTATGCTTGACTCGTTAGATATCTAAGTTAATTTAAATTCGCTCGATAGACCTAGTAAAATATTGCATCATAACCACTTTATTTTCATTTTTATATCGAGATTCATTTGAAATCTCTATTTTAAATCAAAAATGATAAAAACTAGGGCAAACCTTTAATTTCAAGCTAGTTAATATTCATTTTGTCAAAACTGAAATTCAACAAAACACACCATGAACTAAGTTTCATAAAAAAGGAGCTATATAAGCTCTTGCGTGTAGAGCACTAACGACGGCCGGCGAACCCGTAAGGAAGACACAAACGAGTAATTTATTGCTCACATAAATCTTCTGGAAAAGTCCCCGGACACTTAGCAGAGATGTTAAGTTTAACACTGAAACAATGCCTCATTGTCGCCTTAATGGCTAAGACCGTAAGAGAGCCAGCGATAGAGGCATCATTTGGTCTAAGCAAAGTCATTCGGGTGGTTGGTGTCAGCGCCATCTCAACGGGGCTTAACGTCGGGTGCATTTTGCAGAATCGAACTTTGAAATATCTTCGTTAAAAAATCTTATTCTGATGAAAAGTACTTCTGCATGAATATATTGCGGCTTTGGTTTCTACTCATTGTTAATGGTGTCACTGGCTTCAATGATATCGTCAGTCCCTGATTCATTAGACTGTGGTGGATAAAATTGTTAAGAAATATCACTGCAGTTTTAGCTTATATATATGTATATACGGAGATAACTATTCACACAAATTAACTTACAGCTTTCCTTATGTGGTTTGAAAGGTTGATAAATTTTGTTTCACTCGTTAGTAATCTATTATTTAAACTAATAAAATAATTCATCATAACCCCTTTAATTTGATTTTCAAAATGAAATTCATTTGAAATCGCTTTTTTAAACCGATAATAAAAAAAACAAGAGCAAGATTTTAATTTCAAGTTAGTTCATTGTACATTTGTCAACAATTAAATTAAACCTAAGACTGAGTTTTTTGCAAGTGATTTGAAAACTTGATAAATTTTGTTTCACTCGTTAGATATTTATAATTTAAATTCTCTCGATAGAACTATTAAAACAATTCATCCTAACCCCTTTAATTTAATTTTCAAAATGAAATTCATTTGAAATCGCTTTTTTAAACCGATAATAAAAAAAACAAGAGCAAGATTTTAATTTCAAGTTGGTTCTTTGTACATTTGTCAACATTGAAATTCAACTAATACACCTAAGAATGAGTTTCATAAACAAAGTCATATAAGCTCTCGCGTGTACAAATTTATAAATGATCGGCAAACCCGTAAGGAAGATACAAAGAAGTGGTTCCTTACTCACGTGAATCTTCTGGAAAGTCCCCGGGCACTTGACAGAGATGTTAAGTTTAACTTGAAAGAATGCCTCATTGTCGCATTAATGGCTGAGATTGTAAGGGAGCCAGCGATTAGAGGCATCATTTGGTCTAAGCAAAATCATTCGGATGGTTGACGTCAGCGCCATCTCAACGGGGTTTGACGTCGGGTGTGATTTGCTTAAAACGTCGAAAAAACCATACAACGATCAAGTATTAAATAACTTTTTTTTTCGATGAAAAATAATTTACACAAAGCCACAGTCGCTACAAAAATATATTCAAACGTTGGGATGAACCGTTTCCGACTATCACACGATCAGATGAACTTTTCTCTCCAATTGCTGTTGGACATCCTCGGACATCAATTGTTCAAGCGTTAATAGTGAATGTCCCAGCTGATCTTCCTATGAATAAATACATTTTGTAGTTGAAAATATTTAAATAAACGATGACAACTTTTCATGTACGAAGTATATACCCTTGAAAATGGTTGAGCCATGGTCCTGAGAAATCGTTTTGTTAACTGTACAGCATCATCAGTTGACAGGTTGCACACGGAATCGGAAAGATACTCCTGTATCCATTTTGGTAATTTATTTTTCTTATCCGTTCTTGCAAACCTCTTTGGACAAGTTAATTAGAAACTAATAATTTTATGACATTTAAAAAAACTGGAAAGCTACAAATATATAAATATGAGTGATGGTTATTAGTGAATATGTAATATTTTAATGAACCTTATCAGCAAAAACCATCACTCCATAGTCAGTTTTGCCTCTGAGTGCTCTGCCAACACATTGAGCTGCATGCCTCATTGCATCAAATGTTAAAAAATCATTTTCGCGAATGTGGAATTGTTCACGTAAATATTCAAGCCTTGCCTAGAGCCAACAAGTGAAAGTGTAAACTTATACCTTCAGCAGAAGTTTTTATCATTCAAATTAAAATCTAACACGGAAAAGAAAGAATTTAATAATAACCAAATTCAAGTATATTAACCTTTAGAATTCTGCTTTGAGTATAAACATAGGGTACACCAAACATAATAACAGCTCGTCCATAATGGTGGTCTAAAAAAGCACAATGAATTCCAAACATTACATGAGTGAAAAAAAAAATAAAAAAAAAGAAGACTACACAAAATTTTATTTGAATACTGAACAGTTTATAAATTTAATTTCTTATGTTTAATATAAGTATGTCCAGTTTCTGACAGGAAGTGACTATAAATTGTATCAAATTAATCCATGAAACAAAAACATAGAACATAACAAACCAAAATCAATCCCTTCAGAAACTTTCCCTCTGGCTACAGACAATAACACAGCTCCTCTTCCATTTTCACAGGCCTTATTCATATAAAATCAGGTTACAAGATTGAAGCATTTCCAAAAAATAAAGATAAAATGTATTCAAATAAAAAAATAACGATAAAAAAAATTCATTGAGAAAAAATTAAAAAAATTTAATAACTTTTTGATAGTTTGCCAGAGCCAGTGAAGTTTCAGCTGCATCAGTCGTTTCAATGAACAACAACTTATACTTCTGAACTTGATCAATCAAGCCCTAGCGAAATCAAATATTTCGACATTTACAATTTTACAAGAAATATTTTACAAGAACAGAAACCGAAAATGCTCAAACCTACTTGGTCATACCATGCAGCAATGATAGATTCCTGTAATTTAAAAAAAATGCAGTTTGAAATGACTCGGTATAATGACTTGAGAATCGAGTAAATTTAAAACGGTTATGATGTTAAATTGATATTTGAATGAACAAAAATATAATGAAGAATAATTCAAGTTGTGTTATTTTATTAACCATTTTAAAATCAATTTTACATAAAAATTTTGTTACTTACATGTATGGTCATAAGAAGGATAGGAACATACCAATTGAGAAAAAAAAAGCAAGAGGATAAACAAACAAAAGTTTGACGTACCATGTAGACGTAGCTAGTGAAGAAACAGACGATCCCATCAGCCACTACCGACGCCATCTCCGCCAATAAGAGTCCGTAGTTTCGTATTACAGCTAGTTCAATTTTCAATTTAATGAGGCTAACAAAATTTGTAAACAGTAATATATATTAACCAGCTATAGAAAAATTTATGAACTGTGTTTGAGCTAATGACATAATTAGAATTCCTAGAAGACTATATTATCGCAACATACAAAAAGATGAATAAAAATTTTGAATGATAGTTAGATTAAATTCTGTTCATTCAAACATTTTGAAGTAACATAAAATGAACATGTTCAGTAAATACAATTTTTGTTTGATTTATCCATGAACAAGCATACAGCCCAAAAAACTCACATGAAAATAGATACTCTAATTATCAATACGAGAATTAAAACTATACAAACTAGCAAATTTTTATATTTTTTTCATTTTACCAAAATTTGAATAAAACTTTTTTTACAAGACATATTTGTAAATGTGCATGAAAATGTACGTTGAAAAAAGAAAAGTATTACTATATTAAAGAAAATGGGCACACACAGACCTGGATCTTCTCTGGATTCAAATTTTGAACTGACCGACACCTGATCACTACCTCTCGTCACGACCTAATTGTTTTGTTGAAATTATAACAACAATCTAACGATTGTTTCAGTGGAATAATTATAATACGTGAATGATTGTGGTTCAATTAAAAACATAACCGTATTTAATTTTATTCTAGCGAAGAATTGTACTCTGGCACATATATAATAACATTAAGGTGCCATAAAATTGACTGTTATAACTATATTACATCAGCATGACACATGAACAATCCGAAATCAGAAAAAAACAGAAAAAAACAAACAATGTTTTAATGCATCGTTTCTCATCTGTAATTAATGAACCACAAAAATAATAAAACTTTTTAATTTTTTAACTAAAAAAAAACTTCCATAACATCAGATCAAAACGTTTGAAAAAAAAAATTTCTCAATTTGCTCAGTTGACTCTAATAAGACCTATTTAAAAGTAAATAGAAGATGGAAGATGAAGTGACGAACCATCGGGCAAATGCACGGTCTGGAAAGGGACATGGTGAATGAAGCCATCGTCACAGGATGGAAATCGAGTATGCGAGGATACATTTCGACTGGAGAAAGAGTCTGCAAATTTAAATTACTATATTCATTTGCTTCTAGTATGTTTGAAACATTTCTGTTTAACAGAATGACATTAATGTGATTTACCTTTAATAATTTAATGAAACAATTTTCATATTAGCACACTGCATGGTTTAGGATACAAAAAATTAATCAATCAAACAACTAGCAACAGTGATACCCCAGAAGTGATGACGACAGTTTGAAATCTATCGAAGACAGGCTTGATGGCGATGGAGGCATTCATGCAGCTGAAATGCATCAGCGGGTTGCTGATGGTCGGCGTGCGGTCATCGTAGGGCTCGATGATCAATGTGAACCCTGATTGAGGTCGTTAACGGTGGGAAAAATAATTTATCAGATATCGTAATGATGGAAATCTTGATCAAAAAAAAAAAACTGAAGTTCCAAAAAGATTTAAAACGTAAAATGTGTTATGCAGACTGTTGCAAGCCATTTCATAAGAGAATAAAATTTTTATAAAAATTTAGAGAATTGGAATTTTTTAGAAATGAATCAGTATGTACCTTTGGTGTAAGTACTGATCATGGTTGCAAAATTAGCAACAAGTGTGAGGGCAGAGTAATCCTGGATGTCGGAAAGTTCCAGCGTTCGCAAGAGGGATCGCAGACGTTCGCAACAAAATCTATCAAAAATTAATTACTAATGAAAATAAATCATCAGTAAACTGAAGAATGTTGTTGATGGAAAGAATGTTGATGGAAAGAATGTTAATGGAAAGATCTGGAACGTGTGCAATGTCATTATTTGCTAGTGAATACTTTATTTATACAGACAAACCTCAGTGGTTTCCTCTCAATGCAAACTTTCTGCAAGCAATCCTTTAGAAAAGATGCTGGACTCTCCTGTATGAAGTGTTGAATGTGAGAACGAGACTTCAAATACTCAACGAATCTCTTCATGAAGATGATGAAATGTTCACAGTTTCTTATGTTGCCTGGCACTGACTCTAGGTCGGTGATGTGATTGGCAACGTTTCAACAGGTCGTACAATTTTGGGATGAATGAATAATGAAATAATAAAATAATCCTACCTTGTAGAACTTCATCTGGAAGAACTATGGTGAAAATAAAAATGAAGTTATTTTAACTTTTTAATAACATCTTTATTTCAGCATAAACTTGTAGAAGGAAAAATCTCCAAACATTGTAGATAATGAAACAACCAGAAATTAAACAACTTGACAGCAGTTTTAACAAAAACAAGTGCTAAAAATAACTTGGATTAGCCATGATGACATCAGTTTCCCTGGCTATGTTAGCCTCCTTCAATCCTTCAACCAACCTGTTGTACTCCTTCTGAAGCTTGCTGGCATCTTCATCTTTTATCCTACGTGCATGTGTCAAGTTGAAAACATTTAAAAATCAATTTAACATTTAAAACATTTAATTTGAATATTTAAAAATTGTTTCCAACTTTTATTATTGCACTATTACTGTTGAAAAAATTTATAGCAAAAATTTTAATTGAATTAAAAAACCGTTGTATATTCTCCTTTAGGCTGTCTAAATTGAGAGAGCATTTATCCAATGTCTTTCTTGATATATGTAAACTCATTGATTCTATGCAAACATTATCTGCAACGTTAATAAAAACAGTTGCATTACAGTTAAAATCTAATATTCATGAAGAACTTAAGATCGATAAATGTTGGTAAACAACAAAATGACAATGAATAAAAAAAATTTCAATTAAACATTAGACAAAAACATTTTACATTTCCTGGATATTGTATCCACTATGACAAAATGGTATAGAAAGAAATAAAAATTTAGAACAAACAGAAAAAAAACCAAAATGTAAAAATAACAAAAGCATGACAACCTATATTGTGTGCTTCATCGAAAACTACCACAGAACTTTTTCCAAGCTCTTTAGAGACCAGATCAGCAATTTTAGGATCTAGGAGGTAATAGTAGCTGTAAACTATTATGTTGGCATGTGTTATCTGGAAAAATTTTTCACATATGAATTGTTATTTAACCATTCTTATGATAATTTCTATTCATTAAATTAATTGTTGTAAATGCTTGCAATCGGATGAATTGTACTGAACTGTTAACCAATAATTTTTAAAACGCACTGAAATAACATCAATTTTGGCGTTAAACAAAATAAAAAATGCAATAACAATAATAACATGATAACAACAATAACACGAATTATAACAATAGCAATAAATGTAGTATAAAACTGCATGCAAAGTAGCAATACACTGAAAGGTAGGACGCACCGAGTGTCTGGCAAGAAAGTAAGGGCACCATCCCCTGTCCAAGCCATAGGCCTTTAGAGCCTCCTTCAAATTCATAACAATTTAAACGATCTTTTTAAGCAAAAATCTTTTAAATATTTGTTTATATAGAAATCAATAAAATAATACTTTCATTAAAATTGTTACTAATGAAATGTGAAACATCTAATCTTTAATATAGAAGAGCAAAGAATTATACAAAATCTACAGCCATAGAGTGATCTAAATATTTGTACAAATTGTAAATTGTACAAATTGTACATAGCTTCCGACAGTATTAACTTCAACAATTATAGACCCAATTTCAGACTAAAACAATTTTCACAACCTATAATTTTATTCAAAATAATAAGACTCTATCAAAAATCAGACCAACATAAGCTGAGGTTTGAAAATGGATTATTAATCAATTTATAAAAAAAATTTACAGGTGAACATAGAAGCAAAACAGCTACAGCAAATACAATATCATGGAGGTCTTGATTCAAGTTGCATAAGATATTAAAAAATTACGTATTGAATTTGTAACGAAAAAAATAAAAAAGTTAAAAACATTCAACATCCAACAAACCAAATTGTAAACTCCTGCCGGAATAATCACATCTTTTCCTTGTGCATCATATTGCTTTCAGCGAATAAATTGTTTAACCATAAATATAAATAATGCAAATTTAATGTTAAAACATAAGACATGATCTGAATGAACTTCAAAAATTCATTGTTTTATCAGCATTTAACAGGGATAATTTTTTTCTATTAAGATTAATTTTTAATTCCAATAAGGTGGAATAAATTCTCCACACTAAATGTTTGTACCAAGAACAGAATTATCAAAAACAAAACTGAGAAGGATTAGGCTGACCAGCAATGTTGAATCTCCAAATAAATTGAATGAATGAATGAAATGAAGCAACCTCAAAAAAATTGCAGACAGGAATAGAAGGGTTGGATTTGTGCTGTTCCCTGACGAACGAGGCGGTCAGACCATGGCACCTGCCATCGACCACCTTGCCATCTCTCTCCTGGCTCACCTGTTCATTTAATGAATAAATCTGATGAATAATCTAGTACAAAATTTCTGTAAACATTTTAAAATAAATTATAAAATAAACAATAAAAAGAAAATAATTTCAGTGTCGAACAAAAAATTGCTTCCTACATTAATATCGAACACGAAATAAGCATTTACACAAAAATAAACCAGCAACAACATTTTCATCATAATGAAAAATAATTTTTGGCTAACTTTTATTTAACATCAGACTTCAATAAGCCATCAGGTAATGAACATTTAAAAAAACATGTGAACTCGAAGAAAATGAAACTCACGGCAGGATGTATGCAGAGATTTTTTCTAGAACTGAGAGATATGCCGAGCAAACCAAGTGGCTGCCCCGTCACCTCCTGCCAGTAGTCAAACAAGTGCTCCAGCTCCTCCATCACCTATAATTATTCAAATAACTAATAATAATAATAATAATGAAAAAATTGAGGAAAACATAATAGATTAAAATTTTTAAAATGTGACCACAATTTTTATGAACTAAATTTTAATCGGTAAAATTTTTAAACTATCTTTAAATGAATGGACGAGTAATGTGTTATTAGTTGCAAACAGTTGAAATGTAAATGCTACAAAAAAGGCAGGTGTGAAAGCAAAAATATGAGCTAGTGTGGACAAAACCTTCTGCAGCTCGGGCACAGTCCTAGAACAGTAGATCAATTTTGTTAACTGTGTAGGGTAGGCCTGTAGATAATATGATTTCTATATCACAAATGCAAAATTTAAAGCAAAAAACCCATGAATAACATCTAGAAATGGCAAATGTGCAATGCAAAAATTAGGCACAATCCTAATTTTTTAAAAATGGCACCCACTTTAAGATAAGCGACAATCAGTGACAGCAGAGATATCGTTTTGCCGGTACCACTTGGCATTTCAAGAACACAATGACCCTAAGAACCAGATTAATTACAAATGACTCAAAATTATTAAAACAATAAGCAATAACATTGAATAAGGCAATTTTGTGGTGTATGTACCTGGGCATCAATGGCTTTTTTAAGTTCAAGCATATAGAGATATTGTTCTGGGTAGATGTACTCATATGGAAAGTACACTGTTAGCCCATCAATGTTTAGCCTGTTTTAACGTTGAACAAACTAAAGTTGAACATCTAGAATTTAGTTAGAGAATATGGGTTTTACTTTTGACACTATGATTAATTTTCTTCACCTTACCTCATTAAATTATTATAATTAAATAATATAATAAGTTAAATATTATCTCTATATTTTTTAGACCTTTTCTCTCTATTTATTTAATTTTTAATAACTAAAATTGTCCTTAACTTTTTTGAATTTTGTATGGTGTTGATAATTGAACTAAACTAAACAATTTTATTTTTTATAAACATCATCTACTTCTCTAAAGTTAACTTTAATTCAAACTAAATATTATCATATTAATCCTAACAATTAAATTCATTAATTACTAACTAAATGACTACTAATTGTTACTAGAAACTAAGAAAGAAGAGTCAATAATAATAATCTAGAATCTAGATCTAGATGAAAAGCAATATTTTGTATTGGCACATGATCTCTCTAGCTCTACAGTCTACGTTGTCAATAATTTAATTATTAGTATGATCCTGTCGAAACTTGATATTATTTAATTATAAGAACGTGTGCCCAGTTCAGACACCGGCAGAGATTGGCTCGAGCTCTACCAAGTGCCAGAAAAACAAAAAATCAAACCAGAGGGCGCCAAATGAAACAAAACAAAACACCCCCGTCCGGACATATTTGACGTTATGCAAATTCAAATATGATTCAATTCAAATTATTAAACAGAAACACGTTTTCCTCACTTCATTTTGATCTTTTTAAGTTTCTAAAATTATAAAAACACGTTGCGTTTTCGGAGCTTCGTTTCTAATCTTAACTTTATTTTTTAAAAGTGAAATCGAGTAATATTTTCAAATTTAAAAGTAAATCGAAGCGGTAATATTTTCGAATGTAACATTCCTACATAAACTTATTATACACACTATAAATGTAGAATAAAGAATATAGTAATATAGTACAATAATATAATAATTATAAAATAATGCATGCCTATACTCATAGAATAGTCGGTTGCAAATGGATGTTTTGAATCTGAACCATGAAACTTTGTAAAGAGGAATTGAACGAAAGTGATGCTTCAGTTTTAGACTGCGGTTTCCAACCATGTTCATATCATTAGTGTTAAAAATAATAATAACATTATTATTAATAACAATGACAAGGCGTTATGACGCGACAAGCGACTGTGACGCGATTGATAAGCTTTTATTGAAATAAAATATTATTAAGAAAGATTTAAATGACTGTTAGAATCTATAATATATTGTATTCTAAATGAGTGAATTTGCAATAAAGTTTGTTGAAAAGGTGTGGGAACATTGGAAAATTGAAGGCTTATTTTATTATTTTCAAGTTTTCAAATTTTTAAGTTTTAATTATTTAATTGACATATATATGTTGGTTAATGGAAGAAAATAACTCGAAGGTTGTGACGACCTTGCTGCGAAAGTAAGAGTAGCCATTCATCATCCTGTTTATTCGATGCGATTTGGTTATTTCAATGAAATATTAATAAAAATAATATATTTTATACTGGATGATCCGTCCTCTCCCGGTAACAATTATTGGACACTTTTTTACAGAAAAAATTACATGAAATTTACGAATAATACATAGAATCTAAATTAATGTTTAACAAAAATGATATAAAACCTTTTCATATTTGATTATTATTGATTTTTTCCGATCATTAACCGTAGAGTTCGCAAGGTCAAATCAGTTGCTGAAGAAAAAGTGTCTGTACGAATAATGCATGCATGCATCTACGAAGGATGAAAGTAACATATTAACATTCATTTGCACGCTTCATTTGAGATACAATGATCAATTACGTCATCTGATATCTCAAATGATGTGACGTCACATCTCTTTAATCATACAGTTCCTATCTGGAAAATATTTGCCGTATTGCGGCTGATAATTGTTGAATAATTCACGCTCGATAAATACAATAAATTATCAACTAAACTTGTTTTTCTTTAATTTGCATCCAATTTAAACATGTATAAAACTTTAAATTACATATTTTATGTCTATAATTCGTATCAAAATAATAATTCAACAAACGTGTTTAAATATTGTAATGATTTCTACAATATAATTTTACGTAACATTTAACGCCTCATTTCAAACTGGTCCCATCTTATACATATTTATTAACATATGCCCAAACGCCTTGTCTGATGGCATTGTAATTGCATCTTTAAAATTGCTTATCTTTTTGGTGTTTTATAGAGTTATGAACACGTTACTGTATTGTTGTTGTATTGTACTGCAAGGAAGACTGTTTTGTTTCTTGGTTCAGTTAAGATTTTTTTAGCCCAATGTGCTTGCTTGCTAATTGCATGTATAAGATTTTTGTGACAAAATGTTGTTAGTTTTTTGTTTTTTATTGTTAAAAGGCTGAAAGTGTGATGCCTTTGGTTATTTAAAATCCATATGTATTATGTTTTGTCTACTTTCTCTGATTATATTTTCTGTTAGTTATATAGGCTATCGTTAGGGGTTTTAATGTTTCAGTTTGGTTGTGCTTATCATGCTTTACTTTTTGTGGATTTGTTAAGTGAAGACTTCTTAAATGTAACGAACATGTTATGTATGATGAAAGATAACGCGTTGCTTCGATAAAACTTCAAAGTTGTTTGTAAAACTTCATAGCGTTCAGTTGACTGTGTCAGCTTTTGTTTGAGTCAAAATGCGTGTGATCAGTTTGTTTTATTCACAGTGAGTAACTCTCATTGAAATGTTTAGTAATTTTCTGCTCTATATTTTAGTGGAAATTTTTTGCTGATGTAATAATTATCAACTCAATGTTATATTTTATATTGTGACACATTTTTTAAATGAAATTTTTTCAAACAACATGCAGACGTGACTTCATTAAGCAGATTTGGCATTTACTAGGCAAGTTGTTAAATTTTGGGTATTTTCCTATGAATATAAATAAAACTTTAACAAGATCAAGGTTGAACAATATTTATTTTATAAACGTATTTTGTTTCTCCAAATAAGCTCTCAAAGCTGATTTAAAACTTTTTTTGAAAAAGTTTTTCTAATTGAATTAAATTTTGTACTAGCAAAACATTAATTCACACTTAATCATCATCATTATCGCTGTAGTCGTCATCACCATCACTATCTTCATCGTCATCATGATTTACGGGCGTATACATCTTTTGTTACCTTAATTGAACTAGGAACTTCCATTTCGCGGATCACTGCACTCGTTACAGTTGTTGTGTTGTCTGTTCGTTGGAGGTGGCAGAGAATGATTACGTTATTAAATGCAACTAAAGTACATTAAATAAATCAATAAATAAATTAATAAATAAGTGAATAAATAAATAAATGAATGAATTAATTAATTGTATAATAATTACCTAACTTAAGAAAATTTTGTTGTTACGAATAATTAAGCACAATCAAAATTTATTAGTACTAAACTGTTCATGCACGGCCATTTCATTGCAATGATTACTTTGTTAGCATAATTTGTGACGACATTGTGTCACATTAAATTGTCATAGATTGAAAATAAATCAGAGATTGTTTCAATTTATCTAAAAATTTATTAAACTCATATTTTTATTTGTTCAAAACATTTTAGAATCTAAATAAAAAAATTTACAAAATAATGGAAATAGTTTAAAATAAAATGCCGCTCTGCTCTGAGAGAAGTTTGAATTATGAAGAGGTTCAGCAGTTTCAAAGTAAGATACTTGCATTAATGTTGGAGGGTCTGCCTTTAAAATGGAGTGATCCACTTCTAGAGGGGGGAACAGCATGTTTGTTCTTATTTACAAAACGCTCGTGGCCAATTCATCCATCAATCATTGTTAGAGATTCATTTTAAAGTGGAAGAATGCGCCGCTGAATGAATTTCTCTGATCTTTCTATGAGGGTTCGTCGGTGGAGTGTGTTGTTTTGAGTTGCTCCGGTTTTTGATGTAGTGTAGGAATACTATTGCACTAGTACTGTTTATACTAATACTACTACTGCTGCTGCCACTACAACAACAACTACCACTACTACTACTACTACTACCACTACTACTACTGTCACTACTACTGCTACAACAACAACAACTACTACTACTTTTATTACTACTACTTCTATTATAACTAATAATATTTTTATTAAAACTATGACTACTGATAGTAGTATTATTACTAATACTCTTATTAATACTACTGTTATTATTTGTGGTAGAAGTAGTATTAGTAGTAAGTATTAGTAGTAGTAGTAGTAGTAGTTGTTGTTATTGTTGTAGTAGCAGTAGTAATTCTACTACTACTACTATTACCAACCCAAAATTTAGTTCTATAACTTTCACTACTATTACTGCTAATATATTTTCAGACGACTACTAATAATGAATATTCTACCAACAACACTGCTCTTATTTCCATAACAACAAAGCACCAGCCACAAATATACCACTACCACAACGACTTCTTCTACTACTAGTAAAACCTGCAGTACCAACAACATCAATGCTACAACATTCACAGCTTCTTCCAAAATTTCCCTTCATTCATCACATACAATATTATTATTTATTATCTAAATCAATTTTGCAACCACGCAAAATAATAACTGCATACGCAACAGCGTTAACTTCAGCAACAACTAATGATGTTTCGCTCTCTACCTATATTGAAAAAACAGTTGAAGATATCTTTCACTACGAATTTGCCGTGTTAATCTTCCGTATAGCAACATTCCTTAATTTAATTTCAATGTGATTTTGTTTTAATTTATTAATTAATTGAAATTGCTAAAGCAAGTTCTGTAAAAAGCGACAAGGGTAGATGAATGCTTCAACAAATTAATTGTCAGTCTCTAGTAAACCTTGGGCGTAAGTGGTCTTTCATTTTATTTTTGGTTAGGTAGAGATAAAAATTGTTGGCTTCAGACAGGTACATGAGTATACCTCGGCTGAACTGAATTTATTTTAAATTTCACATTTGCCACTAAGCGATGTCATTTGTTGCCGAATATTAAAAAGAATTATTTATAATACAGAAATAAAACAAATAATTTGAGATAATAAATTTTTCTTTCAACCATTTAAAAGCAACTGCTAATTTTTCGTTTAACAAAAAACAATAGAAAATTAAAGAAAAATAATTTAGGATACAATTTATTTAAATAAAAGTACTTAAAGCAAACGAACTAATGTAGAACGGTGCATTCTGATGTACGCATGTGTTGGTGAGATTTTGAAAACTTTGCCATCAACCAATAACCAACGGTGATGATTCGTTCAGCCAATAGGAGCACGAGAACTTTAAAATGAGGTTGAGCACGTAAATAAACCGGTGTTTATGTGCGTTAAATATGGGTTTTGTGTGTTGTTTCTGGCACACGCGTTGTAAGCTTTATTTTCAAGATGTTACAATTTTGTGGTTTATTTAGTTAAAATAAAATGTAATTAGAATACAAATTTAACAATTAACAATTTTGAATAGATGTCATACTAAGTTGTATTAATAATTATATATAATTATACATTTATATTAATTAAAAATATAATATTTCATAAGTTAAACATAATGGATGGTTATAAATAAAATAACAATTGGACATATAATAAAAAAATAAATATGAATTCTGTATTTATGATATAAAAATATACATGAAAGTTTTTTTTTTATTATTATGACTATAGAAATCAATGACATATTGGAAGTAAGATGTTATTGAAGAATGCATCGCCTATCTCGTGAAGTGCCGCATTACTCCAATTGTCATCCATTTGAAGATGATGTCGTTTGTGACAACGATGATAATGTTGGCGATGTGAGTAGGAGTATGATGATGACGACAAATCATCCATTTCAGATGATGACGACAAATCATCCATTTCATCACCGTCCATTCACTCACTCGCTTGTCAGGTTGTCACCGGCAGAGGTATGCCACTCAGACGTCAAACACGTTGAATCATATTTACAAAGCAACAATAGCAGTTTAAGTAACAACAATAACAACATCAACATCTGTAACATCAACAACAATGGCCAAATTGATGTCAACAGTTTCAACAATCTTGCAAATAAAGCCAACGTTGTCAAAAGCTTGGACAATGGCATTGTTAATTGCAATTATGTTTTGGTATCTGACAACAGCAACATTTGCCAGGGTAACGTGTTGAGCAAAAACATCCATCACAATAGTTATTGCAATTTAGAGAACTGCGGTGGCAACAACAACAACAACAAAGACGTTACTTTAACGCAATACTTTTCAAACAACTACACAGACAACAACAACAACAATACAAAGGTTTACGCAGCAGAAGTAACTACGCCTGTTATGATCCGAGATCATCTTCCCAACGGATTTAATGACAACAGTAGGATTGTCAGTTACAGCAGAAGCAGCAGCAACAGTTGTTTGACCAGCACCTGTATCAACAACATTGACCAGCTAATGACGAACGACAACAATGCAGACCTACCCTACTTTTCCAGATACCACCCTGAATACGGCTACCCCAAGCCTCCCTACTCCTACATCTCACTCATCGCCATGGCCATCAGCTCATTTCCAGACAAGATGTGCACACTGCACGACATTTACGCCATCATATCCAACAACTTTCCGTACTACAGGTCCAATCAGAAACGCTGGCAGAACTCAATTAGGCACAGTTTATCATTCAACGACTGTTTCGTAAAAGTCAACAGAACAGCAGATCGCCCCGGCAAAGGTTGCTTGTGGACGTTGCACCCAAAAGCAGGCAACATGTTCAACAATGGATGCATGTTGAGAAGGCAGAAAAGATTCAAAAATGATGAAGATCGCCAGGATGTAGAAAAGTTGTTTGAGGAGAACGATGGACAAGTTGATGATGCAAATGATAATTTTTCAGAGGATCATCAACACTTAAATCAGATATGTCATCAGTATCTCAATCAACATCCTGCCAATCATTTTCATCATCAAACATATCCGATAATCGGAAGTTCTCAAATCAATACTGACAGTTGTTTTTATAATAATAACTATGGGAGCAAAATATCAAACAAGAAATATATGTACAACTGTCAATCGAATATGGACCCATTGCAAGCTCCCTTCACATATCAGCATTTCATCAATAACAAATTTCATTATGCCAATATTTACCCATTAGCAGAGTGCGGCGTTAATGAACATATGGCCAGGCTGCAACAGAATGGAGCTGCAGGTCACCTCAACCAGCTCCACGGCCAGCATCCTCATCGTGACCAACTGCAACTTCATCAACGTCCTCACTCACAGCGACATTCGTACGGAGAGCAGGCGGAGCGGTATGATTCATTTGATAACGATCAAGAGAATGTTACATCGTCCACTGATATTTGAAAACTGCTTCCATCTGATTCAGCTTCATGCACGAAAATTTCATTCTATTAGAAATAGACAATAATTATACATGTTATTTTTTAATTTTTGAACAATCGATATACTTACATATGTCTAAGGTTGATAATATATATTATAACTACACTGGCATCTGATAATGTTCATTGTTCAAATGCTTTGTTTGCTCTAGCGAATAAGAGGTATTTAAAATTTTTCAAATAATTCATTTACAACTGGCGAGTTTATTTAAAATAGTTTATAATCATAATGATGCTTTTAGTATCAATTTAGAAGCTTTAATAGCAAAATTCGGCATTCTATTTGAAAACTAAGAAAAGTTAGCTAATGATCAGCATGAATTTTCAATAGTTTGACTCGACCATTTTTTCCGTTAAGCCTTGCAATGTTCAGATGTTCTATTACTTCTGCATATCGTTAAAAACATCCAATTGAAGCAATTTGTTCGCTAAGCTTTGCCAACAAACGAATGCTGACGACCTCATTGCATTCATCATTTTCCCGTCTCAAAAACCAATTGAATCATCAATCGTATTGTGAAATTTAAAAAATGTAGGCAAATTTGTGTCTGTAATCATCTCTAATATATTTTAAATAAATTATCAACTGTCATAGAATGCTGATAGATTGAAATATTCGTAAATTGCTGAAACAATTTTCAATAAAATTAATGAAGCGAATTCTCAATTCATTACGAATAAACAGTTTGATTCTTAAATGAATGAGAATATGTCTGTACATATGTCATTTTGTTTATTCATTTCTATGTAGGACCAAATCAGAGTTTTAAATTTTTCAATTATAAGAAATTTCAATATGATTTGAAGAAGAACACTTGAGTCTATGAATTAACTTTTATTAAAAATTGTTCGCTGAAGAGACATTCAAGTACAAAATAATTATCTATGTGTGTGTGTGTGTGTGTGTACGTTTGTGTGTATGTTTGTAAGTGTGTGTGTGTTTGCGTGCGTGTGTTGCAACTTGCCAGGACTCCAAATAAATTATGAATAACATTCTTCAAAAATAATAAATTCTGATAAATGAAAGACCAAATATTTGAATGTATTATCAGCAACGCATCTATCTTCTCAGATGTTAAAAAATTACCAAATCTTCATCTATGTATTCAAAAAAATTAAAAAAACCAAAAGTATTGATGACGACCATTCGGTAGCAAACCAATCATAAATGCTTCAGTTTCTCGTTTCCTTGCGCTGTCCCATTATACAGCTTTTCCAGAATTACCTTTTAAATGCATCACAAACATTTCTATTCAATTTATTACCGACATCTTCACTCAATTTTTCACCTTCCATTGAAAATTTTAGAAATTTGTGTACTGGAAATTTAAAAGTAATAGGTATTTTTTATTTTTTAAAATTCAGGACAGCAACAAAAGATTTATTTTTGCATTAATCAATTAATTAACTAATTAATTTTACTAAAATCACATAAAACACCTGCATCAAAATGCCCAAAACTATGACGTCATTTCTGTGTTTACATTCACATTCGTTTGTTAGGCCCAACCTCCTTCAAAATCCATCACGAAACTCTCTTGGAAATTTATTTTTTCATTTCCAAAACTAAATGGTCTGTCATTATGATAACAGCCCTTTGGCGTTCCATCATTCTAGACATGTACACCTCTCTAAATTGATATATTGTAATGGTAGTGGCATTCTTATCTCAGAACTCTTCGCGAAAAACAAATCACCATCACCATCATCATGGTTGCCATCTTCATTGTTGTCGTCGCCTCTTTCTTCGTCATCATCCTCCTCATTATCATCATCGTCAACGTTGTCATCGTCGTCATCATCATCATCATCATCATCTTCCTCCTCATCATCATCCTTACAATTTTTTTTCTTCTTCTTCTTTTTCTTCTTCTTCTTCTTCTTTTCCTTCATCATAATCGCATTATTCATCTTTTTCATCATCACCCTTGCCACCATTACTTATTACTCTCACCCACTGTCAATGAATTGTTATTGATTCAGCAACGTTATTTATTACGTAAATGTTGACTTTAGGTACTTCGGCTCACCAACAAATACTTTTTGGAGTGTTCAGCGTATTATTAGAAAATTACATTCAAAAGTATTATTTCATTATACTGGAAATAACTTTCTTTTTTTATCAGCAATTTTAAACTGGATTTTTTCATCCTCCAGGCTGTTGGAAAACATAATGCACTTCTCATGTAAGTATAAAGATTTGTGAGATTCGCAGGAAACTAGTTTTGAAAAAACTAAGAAATATCTCAAGTACGATTACAAAATTTCAAATTAATTTGTTCAAAATATTTCATTTTCTTCCTTATTCAAACCTTACTTACAAAACAAAATATTTTAAGCAGAATCTAAAACTATTATGTAATGTTTATTTTCAGAAATAATAATTGGATAATTGAATTAAAATCTATTATATCTATTATAACTACAAATATATTTTCGACCTGATTAAAACCACTACATTAGGTACCAATTTTGTTTATTAGTTCATGTTACATGCAAATGTTTTGTTGCTTTTCAATGCATTTTAATCTTCTCCATTTCAATAAAGACAAAAACTGAACGATAGACACAAGTATTTTATGTAAATCAGTACTTTAAGTACTTCAGTACTTTTATTTCAATTAGTTGAGTACATTTAAAATGTTTTTCATTCAACATTATTTGTTGGCTGAGATGTGTTGAGATGCAATAAGGTTACATGTAGCCTTATGTATAAGATTTAAGGTGTGTGCAGTTTTATTTAAATTTATCAGGACAGTGTGAAATGACTAAATTTACTATTAAAATAAACTACTTAATTCAAAAAATATTCAGAGTAATAAAATATTTTCTCCTATCACAGTTGGACGTTGTTCAATGTTAACTACATCCAATTTTAGGTAATTTTTATTTTTAATTAAATTTTTCTTGCTGAATAAACATACTAACGAGAAAAAAAGCTTATAATTACGTTTCTAGTTAAATCAATTAAGCTTTTCAATTTTTAGAATATGAACAGAACACGCAAGACTTTTTTAAAGACGCAAAAATTTGCTCTTATGTTGATTGCCAGGAGGACAATTGCATTGAGCTGCAGCAGACTTGGAGAGCTTGTGTGATTTTATTTACAATTGTGTTTTGTTTTTCCTTCCATAAAATAAGGAAATGGCCATTGAAGATAAAGAAAATTTATATTGTCAAATAAAAATTATAGCCGCTTGATCTGGTTGCTTTATTTTCAAACAAAAATTTTGTTTACTGATATGAAAAAAACAGATAGCCATAGTTTTTAGGTAGACAAAATTTGGTTAAAAAAATACAAAATTAAATGAACATTTCGTTTATAATTTTTAAAATAATTCATCACAGTTTTTTTTTAACCATCGTTAAAAACATTTTGTTGAAACTTTTAATGGAGAGGTCGTTATTTTTCGCACATGAACTTGTAAGATTTCGTCAGAGCAGCGCGTGTGCACCTCAGCTGCATGCCCTAAAGAATGGGGTACCCAGCGACTTTCTGTGAGCAATTTATATACTTATCTTTTGCTAAGTAAATCATCAGCATTTTATGAGGTTATTATCTCAGCTATGAACACCATTACTGACATTGTTAATGTAGCTCTCCTTTCTGCCACGACTCCATTGAATACGAGGACAAACTCATAAAAACACATGCACATTTGCTGAAGTCACAAAACATCCGCGCAACGAAATACAAGCACACGTACATATAAAAACACAAAAACACGCACACAAAAATACACACACACAAACACAAACAAAAAGAACCACACAAACACACACGGACATCATTGTTGCTTGCACTCGTGTGGAGTGAGGTACATGACCCTACATCGTGACGCAACATTAATAAAACAAACGTAATTTAACTAAGCTTGACACTTTTCTTGAAACGTTTTCACAAAAGCCATTTGTTCGACTAAAAGCAATTAAGTGTTAGTGGTGCTGACATGATTTAATATTTTCAAATGAACTCTTTTTTTTTCAAACTTCACTTCCCACTCTATAAAATTTTGAAATATTTTTCAAGATTTTGATCTAGATATATAAGAAAATTAACTGAAATTATGTGAGATCAAAATATTCTTGAGAAACAAAAAAAAGACGTTTAGCTACTTTTATTTATTTTGCAATGAATTGAATGTATTGATGTAGATATAATTATAAAGTTCAACAAAATCATTGAAATAAAACATAATGTTATCTAGTTATATCCGCCAATAGATATCATTAAATGCTGATACAAATTAAATTTAGTTTGACCATTGAAGATTAAAATGGAAGTGCATGCATGCAGAATGGAGCAGTTGGAGACGAAGCAGTAACCTCATTTACGTGCAGTATTCATTCCACAACAACGCATCTTCAAAAATGTCTCCAACAATAACCCGCCATTCACTAGATTTTAATTGGCGGTTTTTATCCAAGAATGTTATTTTTACAAAAAACAATCACAAAAATAGCAATTTGAATTTAATGAATCAATTAAAATCTCTGCTGATATGAAAAGAAAATTTTTTGAAATTAAGTCTAATTTGATGTAAGATGAACTGCTGGGCGATTGGAAATTGAAGAGAATTTCAACATTTCAATGACATCACTTTGCAACAAAAATTTGTTGATTTGGTACTAATACGTTTACTATTTCGATGGAATAATTTTTTATTTGTTGAAAAAGACAAAAAACAACAACATCAACATCGCCAACAACATGATTTTCATAATAAAAAGTGTCCAAAAACATTGCAAACAAATAAAATGAAACTTATAACCAAATGTCAATAACCTCATGATTAGTTTATCACCGATTGTAGCTAAAATGTTGTTATATATTGCGTCATGATAAAATAAATTAAAGAAATAAATTAATTAATGAATTTATTGTTTTCAACTTTCAACCTTTTATACAAAGCCCTTATTAGAAAAATAAAATCATATTCAAATAACTTTCTACCGTAGTGTAACAATACCAACCACCAGTTGGTATTGTTACACTAAACACATTCGGTGTACCACTATTAAATAATTTAAATTCAACGGCATATCAAACTTTATCAAAGCAGAATCGGGCAACAATAACAACAACAACAAAAGAGATTAAGATTGACAATAACATCAAGTTTCAAATGAAACCAGCAATCGATCACAATGACAAAATACAAAAACTGTGTTAGTAAAGTAAAGAAATACATCAACAAAATCAACAACAACAACAACAACAGTAGCAGCAACACTAACAAAATATACAACGTTAATAACAGCACTAAAAAACTTTCCTTTTCATCACACAGACACTTCTTTTATTTTTGAGAGTTTCTCATCTTTATAAACAATCAAACACTGGTCAACTTCACACGTGTCGCTACCACTACTACCACCACCACAACTCGCGACAGCCACAACGCCACCAACACTACTGCTGTTACCACTGCTGCTGCAACAGTAACTACTACCACTATGACTGCAACCACTGTGTGTTGTTTCTCGATTGTTGATAATTTTGTCAGGAAGAATCGGTGATGTTTTTATATAGTTAGGGCTTTCTTCGGAGACGTTCAGTGACATGTTGCTGCTTATGTTTGCCTTGCATCTATCTGTACTCTCGTCTTTTGACAGCCGATGTTGTTGATGTTGTTGATGCTGTTGTTGACGATGAAGAAGATGTTGTTGTTGATGAGTCTGTAGTTGTTGACGATGTTGTTGATGTTGTAGATGCTCTTGATATTGATTATGCGAACGTTCATGTAGGTTATGTTGTTGTTGATATTGTTGTTGCTGTTGTTTTTGAAATTTAAACGAAGCAGCATTGTCTAACGGAGTGTTGTTTAAGTTGAAAGCAACTTTTTTTTCAATAGTTGACGATTTGCTGATGGCGCTTTTAAGCATTTGATTTTTGGAATGTAACGGAGAAATTATTTTTTGTTGATGTTGATATGGTTCACGTTGTTGTTGTTGTTGTTGTGTGCAATCATTTTGTTGAATGTATTGATTGAGCATTGCCATTTGTTGCCGATTTTGTGGTTGCTGCATCGTTGAGTTGATAAAATCGTGAGCTGCTGTCGATTTTATTTCAGACGTTGTTGAGTTTTGTGCGGTTGTGAAGGACGTTGCAGTTGGTTTAGTTGTTGCGGCCGTTGTTGTTGGTGGTTTCATTGTTGAAATGTCATCCACAGCTGTCTGGATTGAAGCTGCCAACAACAACCATGCATAATGTTAATTCATCATGCTAAATATGTTAAATATTTATTAGTCGGCCGAATCATTCAAGGGTAGTGAATTATTTATTTCACAGCAATCTGGAACCAACAAATTTGTTTGTGCCATCGTGTCGGAGAGAAAAAAAAATCACATCAATCATAAAAATAGAATTTTTCCGCCTATACCACAGAAATTAAAATTTAAAAAATTAGTTTTGAAAAAAATAGTTCAATGAAAGAAATTTAAAAGCGGCACCATGGAAGGATGCAAACAGAAAAGTTTCGAAGGTCATCATTCTTTTGTCTATTAAAGAAAAGAACATTATTTTAAAAAGTGAATTAAGCGTGTGTTGTAGATATGAAGCCGTGTTTGACGAGTATGTCTTGCTTGCAACGAACATGGAGCTGTTGTGTGAATGAATAATATGTCCATTACAAATTTGTTTAATGTCTGAATTGGTGAAAACAATTCATCCCACAAACAAATGTTGTTGTTTGCGAATACAAATATATTTGTGAACATTTATGTGAGGTTACATTCTTTAAAATATATGGGTTAAAAAGTTATACCAATTAAAATACTTTTTAGTGAATTGACATAAAATATTCAAATAAACATTTCTTGCCGAAATGCATTACATTTTATTCAGCGATGCTTGAGTGAAAGTAGTTTTAATTGACAATTTGATGTTGTTTTGTAAACCAAACATCAGTCTCAAAAACAAGCAGATAAATTTAGGTCTAAGAAAAGATAATTAAGTTTTTGCCACGGAATAGTTTCACGAAATAATTCAAAAATATGCAAACTAGAGTATTAAAAGGTGTTACAATCAAAATAAATGATAAAATAATGTAAACAGACTTTTGTTTGAAGGTGATTGTAGTGACCAAACATCTGGACTCTTCTCGTCAAAACCAGTAACAGCCACATCTTTGAAATTGTCACTGATGTTGGAATGTTGGCCAGATGTATCGCCAACAGTCAGTTCATGGTTTGTGTTGCTTCTGTTGTCATTCAAGTTGCTGTTGACGTTATCGTTGTTGTTGTTGTTGCTTCTGTTGATTGGGTTGTTAGTGTCGCCAATTGTGTTATTGATATTGTCGTTATTGATGTTGATAGTGTTGTTACTGTCGTTGTTGTTGATGTCATGACGTGTTTCCAGCAGTTGATCCATTTTCATCCAGTGGAATGCTCTGGGTGGCGGGGGAGGAGGAAGTGGGGACGAGGAAGCCTGCATGGATGATGATGACGTCAACGATGATGTTCCCTGTGCCAGCAGTGATGATGATGATGGTGCCATCGATGGAGACAAGGTGCAGAGAATTTTCTTAAGTGAATTCGTTGCCATTTGTTGTTGTGACAAGCGCACCTGCAAGAACAAAACAATGCGTTCGACTTTTTTCCCCGACTCCCTTATTTAAAGTTTCGCTTTCGTTCATTTGAATAATTGTACAAAAAATGTGGATTTAATAAACTGAGTGAGAACTTTTTTGAAATTTTCTTCTCAGTTCTCCGTGGCATTGTAATTGTTAAAAATTTAGTGTTTGCTCAAAAATCAAAGATAATTTCAATTAGAATTAGTGGCCGGTCTTCTAAACGTAGAGTAGGCTAACATTCTAAATTCTCATTTGACGGTTTTCTTATTCATTAATTGTTAAAATGACAAGCAAAAAATATTTTATTTATTAATAAATATTTATAAACAATGCAGACAATAATCTAGCTAAAAATTTTGGTGCGTTGTTCTAACTAGCCAACAAAAGAAATTTGAAATTGGGCATTGTCGCAAACTTGGTTCTCTTCAACTTTGACATGAAAAACCAGACATTAAAGATAACGTTACGACACGAACATCAGAGAACATCAAAGAGCAAGAACCAAAAATATTTTTTAAAAGTTAGCTTGCATCAAGTCAGAAATCTATTCATATACTTTTTGAATTCTCAAATTTTTATAATTTCAAACATACAAACCAATTTTTTTCAATCTTGAAAATGTAAGGCTGCCCACAACAAAGAACACAAAAAATATCAAAAAATCTGAAAAATTTTTTTTCGAACAATTTAAACATAAACAAAAACATCAACATCAAAGAATAATTCATCGTGCAAATACATACACACATACACGCACACATGCACACACACATACTCACAACCAACCAACCCGCCAGCCAGCAATGTAGTCGGTTACATATCATCTCAACAGAACATGAGAACAGTTTTGAAGGGAATATAATTGAATCTTTTCGAATTTAAAGTTTTATGATGTAATTTGAGTGAGATGAGTGTTGCGAGATTATTTCTAAGTAACATAGGTTATACATATTTTGGTCTGCTGCACCTCATTGGATAAATTTAAGTAATTTTAAAATTTATTTCCATTTATTTATTTACATATTTTTAAACTCTACAAAATAAAACTTGACAGTTTCTTTTACCGTTTGACAAACACGTTTTCAAAAAGAAAATTTTTTAAAATTATTTTTCATTATTTAAACTTTAAATTACACGCATGCGATCATTGCACTACGCGAACGTGTCTCACTGAAATTGAAATATAGCATGACTGCTTTCAGATGAGACAGAGAACAAGGTGAATTCTAACATTTGAAAATTTAAAAAAATCATTCAATCACGTTGAAATTGGTAACTTGTTGTAATTACATCAAATAGTTAGCGTGACACTCCTGAATATGTACGTGTATGTGATGTAACACACATGTACCTAACTAACTAACTAACTTTATCTATCACGATACCTCAACTAAATAACATTATATTAACAAAGTGACATTACCACAATGAGGTAATATCACCACAACTTTGTAACTAAACTCATATATATATAACATCATCAAAGCTAAACACGTTTATCATAAATAGCTGCACCATATCTCAACAAAATAACTTTATCAAAACGTCATCAGTCTTTACGAACACCATCCCAAGCAAACATAATCACACCTGACATCTTTCCAACGGACCGGCATCGTGTCGTCATAAGCTAACAAATCAACACGCGTGTCTAGTGTTTATTATAAGGTGATTTTAATACAGAAACATAATCATATTAACCACACAACACCACCACGCATTTTAAATGACGATGCCGTGTATTCACGCAAAACATCACTCAGCTGTGTCAGATGTTGTGTGTGTTGGTATGAGTGTGTGTGTGTGTGTTTGTCTGTATGTGTGCGCGCTTCTGTGTGTCTCTCTCTCTCTGTGTAAATTTTTTGCTGTTCATGATGTCTAGGACTATTATGATGATGATGATATTGCAATGATGACAATAACGATGCTGTCATAACTACGATGATAATGATAGGATGATTAAAGTGTTATGGTGATGGCTATGATGTGAAGGTGATGATAAAGATGTTATGGGAATGTTAATGATGATGGTGACGTGATGGAAATTAGAATAATCACAGCTTAGTAAAAAGTAAAATACAGATTAAAAGGTTTTCGTACCAATGTAATCACTTAATGTAATGTTTTGATGGCGGTGAATTTGTTATTGCTGTTATAATAGTTGTTATTGTTGTTGTTATTGTTGTTGCTGTTGTTGTTGTTGTTGTTGTTGCTTTGTTGTTGTTGTTGTTGCTTTTGTTGTTGTTGTAGTTGATGTTGTTGTTATTGATGTTATGTTGGTGTAGATGAGACTTTATTAGATTAAAAATTTGACTGATGTCATATTTAAAAACAATAAAATGACGGTGAATAAATTATAAAATAATAATTATAAATTATATTTTCGTTAATATTATTACTACTATTTTTAAGGAAATAATAGCAAAATAGCAAAGCTAACGTCTGAAATAAATTATTCAGTTTTAGAAAAATTTCTTTAACTTCTGCTGTGTTTTTGTTGTATCAATAGTTGAGGATGTCTGATGCGATAGTTGCAAGTGTTTTGTTGTCTTTCATTGCAACAACACTTGCAAATAATTATTGCCCTTTACTACGATAAAAATTTTATGTTCATCATTTTGGAGAACTTTATTGCTCAAAAATATTTTAGAATAATAAATACATATCAGTGGAAGAAATCGCGTTTTATTTTAGTACTACTTTTCCATTGGCGTTAAAATTTTTTTATTCCCATTTTAACGAAATTCGACTTCCAAAATTACGTCATTATAAGAATTGGAAAGTGTAGAGAATAGATGTTGATGTTGAAATTGCATGTTGCAGGCAAGCAGGCAGGCAAGCTGGATGAATGTTTGGTGGCAGTGTGATCACATCATTAACCACACTCTCTACCACTGCCTAAAACACAATAAAAAACTTAATTGAATTTAGCATCCACTAAATTGAGTTAACTGAACGAAATAATTTGCTTTAAAACCTTTTTGAACAATAACTTTTTCAAAAAGTTTTACAATGTTTTCATGAACATTTCTCGATACGAACTTAAATAATTGGGCAATTTTATTATTCGAGCCAATAATGAAAAAAAATCAGCATTTTTATAATTTAAAAAACGTAACAAAAGTATGAAACAGAATGTAGAAAAACTAACATTGAATTAGTAATTGCGTAAACTAGTGGTCAGAAATGTTAGCGTGAATTAAATACACTGCAAGTGTCAGGACATAAAAGGATAGGGCGATTGCAACTAAACATACAAACATCAACAACTGACTTTCCAAAAGCTATAAATAAAATAAACTGAATAATCAAAAACACGAGACCGTCAAGCGTATTCATAAAAATGTAAAAGAGAGAAAAAACAAAATGATTAACAGCTAATTGGTGCGTCTGTGCCTCTCCGCTCTGGACAACACAAACCTCATAAACTGAGGCTTTCTCTTACTTGATTAGGCCTAGTCTTGAAATATGACTTCAGCTTCGCGGCTTGACAGTCACCTGTGCACAACTTCAAGCAACAATGCAACAACAAATTTACCAGCAACATCGCAAAACGAGAACATTAATTTTAAAGCAACAACATTTTTGCACTGCATACCTTTTCTATTGTTCCTTCAATAATAAATAAATTAATACACCAATAAATAAATAAAAGACTGCATAGAGAAAATGTTATGAAACATCCCATTATTTTGTTTCTTATATTTTTATAAATATTTCAAAAAGTCATTTGCATTGAAATGCTGAATCATAACCAAGTTTTGGTAAAATTTTGAAAGTTTATTAGCAATAAAATTAGAAAAAAAAATTAGCTAAGCATTTAACTTAAAGAAAAATTGTTATGATATGTTGATTAGAAGTTTATTATAATATTGGTAATATAACGTTTTGTTGAACGAATTATTTACTAAAAAATAGAAACACACTTTGATTTCTCTGCAGCTCATAAACAAAATGGCTGTAAGATTTGACAACATTACTTTGTTATCAACGATCTCGGTTGTACGAAGAATTTATGATGTGGCAAGAAGAAACACAACAACCCGTCACAAGTTGTTTTGTATAGTAGATGCAAAACAGACACCATACTACCAGCGCAAACTTCGACAACGACCACTGCACGCTATAACGACCCACAACAACAGCCTTCAAATGCAAGCCTGGAAATTTATCAGTAAGTGTGGGACCGCGAATTAACCAGAGTTAACCGACCCCTAAAAAACCTCTGATCTCAACCGACTTCGACATCCTGGAATAAACCATCATGAGTTATTTCAGGGTAAGAGTTTATAACAGATTGAATGCAACATGCGAACGTCTGAATATTTAAATGAAATCGAGAGGAAATCAATTTAATGACTCATTAAAATAAGTAACTTTCAATTGTAAATTGCAATTGCATTCAAATCAAACTCATGATCAACGTTGACAGCAGTGGTACAACGCTGAATTAACGTTCTGCATATGTCACCTTATGGCGTGCAATGTAAGTGTCAACAAAAATTGTTTTTCTTCCTGTGTTAACAAAGATTGGATATTCAGTATTTTTATTATTGTTTATAATTTTAAAGCAAACTTAGCAGTTTAACATGGAAAATATAAGAATTGGTAGCTAATTCGGCTAATTTTGAAGTTAAAATATAACAAAACTTGCCAAACCAAATCGACATATTAAATAATTAACGTAACAAAAAGTTGTTTTTTCATTTTTTAGAAGTTTTGAAGTTTTATTGTTTTTTTGCCTGGCGAACGAAACGAACTTAATGAAAAAAAATTCAACATTAGCATGCACCAGCGTGCTTCCAACATACATCAAAATTTAATTTTCTCGAAATAAAAAAAAGTGTAAAACCTAAAATTAATTGCAATGATTTTTTCATGTTCGGTGGAATTATTAAATAAATGCTGCGAAATTGGCCATTCTTACTAACAACGCAAATACATTTATTACTGCTGTATGGCTGGTACATTGGGTATTATATAACTATAAAACAACTCAGACAACAGAATCATCACAAGTTGAACAGTTCTCAAACAACAAAATAATCAACCACAAACCATTCTCACAACAACAACAACAACCCCAGCAACAGCAACAACAACATCAAGACCAACATTAATGAACATGGAATGCAAAAACAAAAAAAGCATCGAAATAAAGAACATCTGCAAAAACAAGCACCAAAATGTTATTAACAATCCCACGAGCACTTGCGGCCGTTACAAATTGGAAAGCGACACATTGAAGCAAATATCAAACCAGCGACACCGAACTAAAAAACAAAGAGGAGAAACGATAAATAGCAATAACTGCTAATAATGATATCGTCAGAAATAATGCAGGAATGTAGGATTAGGAGGAATACAGGAAACAATAACCCCATCATTAATGCTAATATGCCAATGTAATGCTTGCTGATGATAAGAATGATGAGTACGCTCCAGCTGACTATGCTCATTCCACTATAAAAATGATAACCAAGTGATGAAAATAATATTTTAAATGATTAACATTAAGTATTTTTATACAATTTACCTTTTGTCAAGTGTTGTTATTAAACTATGAATGACATTTTATGCTTATGATGAAGGCACGGAAGACGACGACAACAACGTGTTAACAACATTGCACGTTAATAGCAATGCTTGAAAATTCAATTTGTGACAACGGAAATTAATTTTGAGATAATTTTCTTGCATCGACTTTGACGTTTTTAGAGAAACAACTTTTTTGAATTTTTCTCAATAACAAAAATGTTGAAATTAAAATCATAATCAAAACGAAAAGTAGTGAAAACATTGATGCACCCTAAAATGAAAATTTATCTCATGAAATGTATTAGTAGATTAAATAAATTAATGAAGTTTTAAATTGATAGAGAAGCGAACGAGTAATGTAATGTTGAAGGCAAAGAAGGCAGATGACAATGAGAAGGAAGGCAGTTTTGTGTGAAATTAAATTTCTGCCAGATGACTCTCGACTCTGTCATACATCACGTGATGTCCACACGCTCCACGGCTCGGCCGGTGTTCATCAAAATAAATTTCAATTCATTTCTCTTTCTAATTTAGAAGATGTCGTTATTTCATTTAATTTCTTTTTTTATTGACAAATAAATAAATTTTGGAAAAATTGTGATAAAATTTGCTTTTTAAAATATTTTCAATGTAATTAAAGTTTTTAAAATTATTTAGAAATCAATAGTCATTTAAACTTTTGTTTTTTTTTCTTTCTCTGCCTTTATATACAAATGTGCGTGTATTTGTATTGTATATATTTTGTATTATAAATTCTTGCCAGTTGTGGACGTGGGGCGGTGAGACAGTTGGAAACCAAGGAAACTGATGAAGCACAAATTTTAAAACGTTATTCACAATTCTTTCGAGTTTATAAATGTTTTAACTTTTATTGTTGTTTTGTTCATTTAAATTACGTTCACAAAACTAATATTTATATGTAATGATCATATTGGTAGAGATTTTGATTTTGTTTGTATAAATTAGATTGTCAGCAGACAACAAAAGCGAACATACATGCAAATGCAAAGAAACAACGATGTCGAGTGGAGGCATTCTGCTATTAATGCTGGACGGCATGTTTTTTGAGCGTGCGTTGGATTTTCGAAACTAATTAAAACCTTTCAAAGACTTTCAAATGACGTACTTTGGACTTAGACACGACGCATAATGTTTCCGCGGGTGAATGACTCTTTCACTGTCTGTCTCTTTGTTTTCTCTTCGTCTGTCTCATTGTCTGTCTCATAGTGTGTCTCTTTGTTTGTTCATGTTTGGGTGGGTAGCCATTTGAATGTCCATACGTACCCATTTATCTGCAATTTGAGCGAGTGCCAATGAAACAAGATGGATAAAAATTATAAAGAATTAATAAATTTAAAAAAAAACTAAAAAAATTTACTCGTGGAATCAATTCTTTATGTTCAATTTTTAACTTATGAAGCAGTCTATAGTTTAGAATAAAACATTTATTATTACAAAAGCGATGCGAATTTGTTTAAAAATTACTGTTTGAGATCATGCACATATTTTTACTTATCGTTTGTTTAAAGTTACGTCAAATTAATTGGATTTGAAAATTATTATCGAAGCAGCTATATAAACAATAATATAAAGTTAGCGGTCATAGAGCAAGAATTGTTGTAAGGTCACGTTTAGAAGAAGCAGTCCATCACAATTTACACGCTCGCATCGGGCTTATCCAATATAAGATAACTCCAACGCAACACGCTTATGTGCGTACAATAGAACCTGTACAAGACTTGTACGTTGGGATACAAACAACGTACGTAAGCAACACTTAGGAACATTCCAACGACTGCAAATCGGGCAGCGTGTTGGAATGACTCAATAAAATTCTATTAGAATATACCGTATTATACAAAAAAAGTTCAAACAATTCATAAATATTATAAACGTTTAATTGAAAAATAAGAGGTGTTTAAAAAATTTTCGTAGAAAACATCAAATAGTTCATAATTTTTTCAATATTCCAAGTAACATATTTTCTATGAAATATACAGTATTTATATAAACAAAGTTTCACTATTTTGAATACAACACACACAGGCTAACTAATCTAAACAATATTAGTTTAAAAATCCAAGTTCATTTGGAGCCTTGATAAAAAGAAATAAATTAACTCAACATCTCAATCTCTCAAAATATAAAAACTTACAAGCTCAATCAATTCAGAACATTTTTTATAAACTGCTGATTTTAATAAGAAGATATCCTAAATAACTTTAGAATTTTTTTCATAATTTTTTTCAAAATGATGTATTCTAGTGTAGCGTAAATATAAGCATTCAAAAAAGATTTGTCTGTACTTTTAAAAAAAATAAATTTATTGCATATTGCTGTTTTAGCTACAAAATATAAATTAAAATAATGGTATATCATAAACAAAACTTGATGAAACATCACAAACAAAACATCAACTCGATAAAACATCAACAACAAAACATCAACAACAAGGCATCCCCAAAACCATAACAACACCAAAAAACATCACCATCATTTAGTGGCAAACGTTCAAAACTAATTATGAGTCGTCCGGAAATCTTGCATCAGGTGTGCAGTTGATGATGGAGTGGGATAATATGAAGGATATGAAGGAATGGGATAATATGAGAGACGTGGATTTGTTAAAGTCGGATATCAAACATAGAAACGGCCGGTTGTTCTATTTTATATTAATGCTGTTGTATAATCTGCCATCTGTAATTCGCATTTTCGTAAAAAACGACATTAACAGGTCATGTATTGCTGTTTGTATAAAAGCATTTGTTGAATAATTTTACTATTATAAATAAATAAACCTGAAAATAAATGAATGTAAATAAATACATGTGTATAATTTTGTAAAAATTGGTTGTTTTTGCAGGAGTTTATAAATCTTATTCAATCTAAAAACATTCATTTTTAAAAATTGTATGGAAGGAATTCTGTTTGATGTTTTTTCATTAATGTTACCCATACATTAGAAAACATAGAATGAATAAAATAATAGAATGGGGGTAGATAAAAAAAACCATGAAACATTTCCTTGTCTGAACCCATTAAACCGTTAATAAAATTTTCAATTAATTATACACGAGTTGGTATAAAAATTTTGAAAGAACTCGAATGAACCAACTCTTGAATGTAATATATTTGTATATAATTATGTTACATGTAATAATAGTGAGCACATGAGTGTACTTTATTATAAGAACGCCAAAATGTTGCGCCAACAGACAACGATGATGATGAGCTGAGACCGGCGACAACAAAGAATGCCGCTCTATTGTTCCACTTGCAGTTCATGGAGACATTTCTTAACAATATCAACCCATGCATCTCTTTTTATTGCTCTTTGTTTTGTTAAAATCACATTTAGCGCTGACATTGTTATCTTTTTGTTGCAGTTGTGTTGTGTTGTTGTTGATATGGTGGGTATTGTTGTTGTTATGTTGTTGTGGGTTGGATGGAATTAAAAAATGTTTAGGAAGCCTTTGTTCACTTTTAAATGCGTTGTTCTCTAGTTTGCAATTATTTGAATTCGTTTGAGAATTTGTTGGCATAAATGTTTTATTGCACTGAGTTATAAATAAAATTTGTTTTACCATCGTATGCGTCAAATTAAATAGAAACGTGTTTGTTTTCAATTGTGGCATCTTAGGCTTGTTGTGCAAAACAATGATAATCACGTGGTTAACCAGCACTGCAATAATAATAGTATTTACAGGAGTTATAATAATAGTAAAAGCAATAAGAGTTGAGTGCCAAACGCACAACTGTCTCAGAGGCACCTTAAGTCTTCATTTTCAAACAAAATGTTTTGAGTTTGTGTCTTAAAAACAGACTGAGATTTTATATTTTTAAGTTTAGGTGTCAAACTATTTCAAATTTGAGGCTCGGCAAAAATTTGCGAAAGTCAATTTTTGAGAGGAGCAGACAACGAGGTAAGGTTGAGACGGTGTCAGGTTTATAATACATACAGACATATAGCTCTGAGAAATATGAGAAATAGCTCTGATGCATCATTGTTGAATCTGGAAGGGTGATTTTATTTTTGAAAGTTGAATACCGATTAAAGTTTACACCAATCAATTTTTAAAATGTTCAACGTAGAGTTTGAAGCCAGTGTTGTTTTTGTTTTCTACATGATGCAGATAAAAACATTTCAGACTGCTAAGGTCAAGTTGAAAACTGTTTAAGGTGTTATTGGTTATTTTTGTGGAGTTGTCGATTTTTAATGATGCAAGTTTTATGTTTGAAATATAAAAAAATAAATTACATTTACATTCTATCTAAATATTTTCTACAAAAATTGTAAAATTACCTTTTTATTAAAGAATACCAAACATTAGTAGAGAGCTTTGAAGTACTTATGTTGAATCATAATTAACAGATTGGAAAGAAAAGAAAGTTTCATCAAGTTATATCAACTTTTATAAAATTTTATCAAATATCAAATAATTTGTTCCTATCATTAATCTACAAGGAAATTCAAACCTTTAAAATTGTTCTGTTATAACGACAATTGATAACTAAAAGCTAAAATATGAACAACCAATTTAAATAAATTTGAGTTTTAGCCAGTTGAATAAAAGCAATTAAATATTTTTCATTGATACTCAAACCAAAAAAAACAATAACAATTCATATGACATACCGACATTTTTTTGCCTAGTCAAACCAAAAATAATGTGGGCGTAAGAAATTAAGATAAATGGAAGAATATTCAGCCATTTTAACTTAAACCAACCCACGCGGTGCAACAATGAATGATAAATGCTTGCATCTATTTCAGTAAAC